AAAGTTGAAAGAAAATTGAATAATGCCAAGTGCACATATTTATTTGACTCAAAAAACCATGTTTTAGATCAGATAGATGAGGATTTTTATTCNTGGATTCCTCTATAACCTCTATACTAAGAAGTTATAATACCAATGAAAACATGATTGTTAATTTTGTTTATTATTTATTGAGGAGCTTTCCAATAAAAGATCAAACTTTGAACTGTGATTGTTCTAGGGCTAAAGGTGATAATAGCTCACTTTCGTACAATCCAAGTAACTCCAAGGTCAATACAACCAAACAGTCTGAAAATGAAGATAAAGATAATTTATCTACTTTCTATATTTCTGAGAGCTTAATCTATCATTTCAAGTCAGTTTTAGAACTTTTTTTGAGAGACGAATCAAATATTTCGGAATCGAATGTAGATTTATACAATTTCATAATATCGAAAATCAAAACAGATCGCAGTCTGATTACAATATCAAGGTATGTTGAAATCATTACACCATTCCCTCATGAATTTGATTTTTATGAACCACCTGGGAGTAATGTAACCGATTCACATAATGAAACGAACCAAACTATGTTTAAAAGTTTAGAATTTCAAACTGATAGCATTTACAAAATCATTGCCAATTTCTTTTATGATCCAGTAGTTTTGGATAGTTTGATTACTGAAAATTTAAGTTCTAAACGGCTTCTAAAACTGGCCCAAAAAGAATATTTGATTCCAGCAATTGCTAGGATTATTTCCCAGAGTAAAATTAAGGATGATTTCATTGAAAATATCCATAGATTATTTGGAAATAATAAACAAGTAGATAAGAAAACAGAATCTGCTAGCATTCATCATCATTTTAATATAAGCTCAAAAGTTATCTCTGAACTATTGATCTACCTTGAGTTATTCAAGTTTAATGCTATAAATGTTAAAGATTTGATACAGTTTATAAACAGTCTTGGGGTGGATAATTTGAAATTAGTAAAAATTATTCTTCAAAACTCTGGAAGATTTTGGCTGTGGAAACGGGAGACAAATGAATTTGCAAGGCTATATTTGGAGAAGTTGAAAACAATCAAACAAAATAATACTTTGAATGACAATGCTAATGAAATTCCAATATCTACGAAAATTGATGAAATATTGGATTTCATTTTCAATCCCCAGCCTCCACAAGGAAATTTACTTGGATATGTTGGATTTATCAATAGCAATACCAATGTATTATTTGAGCAAAATTCAAATCTGAGGATGCCCAATAAAAAGTTTTTTTCACTTTTGTTCTTACAACCAAAGCTATTTCACTGCCTGGAATTAATTGTACAGTCCATTATCAAATACAACTGTGGATATATGCTAGACATATACATGTTATCTTTGGCACCTGCCTTAAAACATTCTAAGGTTTTATTTTATAAATATCTAGAAATTATTGCAATGTTAATTGAACCCGACAAAATCAATTATATGGTTAAAAAACTTAATATCAAAATGAAATATCCAATTTGTTATGATGAAGAAATATACTCATGTAATAGTATTTCTAGATATGTACATACTAATGCATTATCTACAACTTCCTCTAGTTATACCACAAAAATTCATGAAATTGTACATGATATTATCGATAACATTTATGACTTAAATATTAAAAGTCGGGCTATTATTGTATTAATTGCTAATTTGCCTATAGATATTAAAAGATATTATCTAAACATGGTTGAATCTAAATTGTCTGTATTAAATGATGAAACCAGAGGACTGTTTTTAACATTTTCTCACATCAATAATTATACAATTAGTTCCGATGATGCTGGAGAGGATTCATTTGAAACTGAAATGAGATTGTTGTCACAGATAGAGTAGTCTATTTTCAACAATGGCATCACAAACATTTTAGACTATAGTACGAAATTAATAAATTTTCATCTTAGTAATTTCTTGTAAAAATCAAGGGATATGCCAGTCTTCTAAAATGTTCCTTAATTATCTCATATTTTTCAAGAAAAAAAATATTAATAAAATATCTTCAATTTTTCCATTAATATACTTTTGTTTTACTAAAGAAAATGCACGGGAATTGTTTTTGGTACTATAGGAAATGTATGTATGTAACAATTAAGACTGAATTTTTTAGTTATCATCACTCATATCAAAATGACATACCAGTTGATAATGGCACTTTGTTATAGCTATAATTTTGTGATCATAAGTGGCTTTTATGAAAATTTCAAATAAATAATTAAAAGTAATAAGTTATGGCAAAATGAAGAAATTAAGACTATCTACATTTTGATACACTGATGTAAACAAGGTTATTTTATAAATTCAGAATACATATATCAGCATTCTATATGGAACACATTCCGATTAATTACTAAAAGAGTTCAATCAATATAAAATAATATATTCAATGCCTCTTATATATTATAGTTGCGTCTTATTGCATCCCTAAACAATTCCAAGTCATCTCCAGAATAGTGGCCGATTAATTCTTCTTCTATTAATCTAATTAAAGACTTTCTGTATTTTTCATTCATAAATTTTCTTATATTAACCAATTCTTTAATAATGCTATTTATCTCCTTATTGCTTAATATTCCTTTAGCCTTTTCATTTATAAATTCTGTCCCCTTCTGCATTAAAACATACTCAATTTGATAGTTTTGAACTTCAAAAAAATCTTTCTTGCTTTTTAAATGATTCAAAATGTTTAAAATATCATCTTCCAAAATACAAAAGTCATCTGGTGAAATTCTATGATCTGATTCATCCTTAGAAATACTGTTGGGGTAGGTATTGATCTCATCATCACGGTTGCTTTTAGCCAATCGACCTTGAATGCTCTCAGAATAGTAATCAACCAGGAGATTATCAATTCTTTGAACAAGCAGTTCATCCAACTCATTACTAATTTGTGTAATTTGACTCAAAAACTGTATTGCATCATCAATGTACGATTTCAAATAATTAATCCCAGCATCATTACCCCTTCGTCTTTCTAAATATTTATATGCCACTTTTTCAATAATTTCATCAAGTTTCTCTGTGTCAGCACTCAACAATGTAATAAGCTGTTTCAATGGAATTATTGTGTTTCTAATAATATCATAATTATCAAAATTAAATTGATCAATCTGATCGAATATTTCGTCAAAGAATGACTTACAATCTGGGAAAAACTCAATTAAACAATGGCTTAACAAAATATTTCCCACCAAATAAAAAAATCCTTCTGATATAGAATCATTATTATCCAAAACTGACTTTGAAACACCTCCTAAGCTTCTTGAAATATATCCCTGAGTGTTATCTTTAGTGGGCTCAGTTTTAGGAGTTGAGATTATACTTAATTTCGAAACATTGTCATTCAAAGAATAACTTCCATGCTTTGTCGAGTCGTTCTCTTTTGTGGTGTGAGTTGTATTTATAATACTTTCATGATATTTTTTAATTTTTCCATCAATATTTATAAGAATTTTTCTTTCACAGTTTATTCCTTCTACTACAACAGCTCCAAGTTGCAATTCTTTCGAAGCATAGTATATCTTCAAGAATTTTTTATTAATTATTTCCCTTCTTATTTGAGAAATGTCATTAAATATTTGAAATGTGAAGTTAATATTTACAAGTCTTTCACCAATTGTGCAGAAATCAATCTGTTTGACCCAATCAGATATTGATTTTCTAATTTCATCAACAAATACATTATAATAGTTCCTATAAATAATGTTTAAGGAAGTGTAGAAATTATATTTTTTTAAATAACCTAGCATTCTTTCCATAAATTTCAAATTTTGAACCGTTTTATAGTATGAAGATGTTAAAGATCCATTTGCACCACTATCCGAACTGACAAATTCAGTATTCACATCATTTATTTTTTTTATTCGATCTGAATTCTCTGATGCACTATTACCCATCATTAAGAAATCTCTAATAAATGTAAATTCCCTTCTGATTTCATTTAGCCTTTCTATGTTTCTTTTGACAACTTCACCTTCCTCTGAAACACTTGCTGTTCTCAAAACTATTTCTTGGGTTGTTTTTATAAATTCTGATGTTACTTCTTTGATTTCTTCAATCCTTTTTGTTAGAAACTCCAACTGATTGCATCTGTTTATTACATTCAAATATCCATGATTCAGCTCCTCATACATACTTGTTTCCAAATTTTCAATCTGTTTTGTAAGGTTAACAATGCATTCATCCTTCTTTGGATTGTTCAAATTATTTTTTAAAAAATGTTCGTGGATTGACAAGAATTTCATTTATAAAAAATTGGGTTATGAAAAGTTCAAATTATAACAAATACCATAAAAAGAGTGATTATTAAAAAATGTCTGCTGTAAGACAAATTATTTATAGATGTATTATTGATGAATAATTCCTAGTTTTGCCATTATATGTCATAAGGTAAGGTATCAGTGTTTATACTATTCCGTAATTTTAAATGAATATAAAACAGTTAACAGCTACTATCATGTAAATGATATTGCTTATAATGTTACACTAACAGAGTCTGTTGAAATATTAAAAAGACATACAATAATAAGCTGGATTTGAATACAAAATTAAGGTATATGAATCAGCCAAAGGAATTAAAAATATTGATTGATAATCTTAACATTCTTTGTCTTTAAGATATAATTTATAAAAATCATCCTAAAATTAACTCATTACAACTAATCATGTAAAGTACTTCGTTCTAAGAAAATAATTTGGGAATCCAGAACTACAATGATTACTATGATATGTTTCTACTTTTATTAGGATATTTCTCATTAAAGTCACTGGTACAACATCATTCATATAATTGATTCCTTGATGTAAAGAGATGATAGTTTGTATTGTCTGTTGGATACAATCAGAAAAATACATAAATCACTGGTGTAGCTATGCCAACTGATCAGATTTTGGTGGAAGAATATGATCGTTCATCAATGATAACTTCCTTAAATTAATTAAATATTGCCGCATTTATATCTCCCTTTTAATGGCCAATTTTAAAAAATGCACAGTTCATGCTACTGCATTTTATAGAATGAATACACCTTCTTGCTCAGTTCAGTTTGATTGTCCTGCAGATCTGTATGGAAAGAACTTTTCAATTCCTTCTTTTAGCTGCCCTCCAAAACCTCTGAAATTTTATGTTTCACAACCATCTGCGATTTCAGACGGAATTTTTTTAACAAATTCAGAACAATTGGGAATATTATTTCTTAGAGAAGATTGTAAAATTTATTGTACCAAATTAGTTTACGAACAAATATTATTAAAATATGAAGAATATAAAGAAAAAGTACTCTGTTATGAAGAAGTGGTTGACATATCTAACCTGAACTCCAATTCAAATGATGTGATTCCAAAACAAAAAGGATTCGATCAGAGCACCATTGTTGATCTATTATCGATCAATGAGGTGAATTTAGATAGATTTTGTAAAAACGTAAATTTTGTACAATTAAACCAGATCACTTTTCTAAATGGCTATAAAATTCAGGCAATTTCAGCAGGAACGAATATTGGTTGGATAAATTATAAAATTTTATTCCCAAATACCCATTCATTGATATACTTAACATCCTATTCTGAAAAACAAAGATTTTCAGTAACAGCAGGTAAATTGGATGCAGATTATTTAATAATAAATAAGTTTGAACATATCAGGGAAGATATAAGATATTCAGACTTTTTAAATGATGGCCATGAAATGTACAGTATTTATAATAATCAAAATGTAGTAAGCATTAATAATTCCAAAATGAAACAAGATATTTCTGATGGGATAGTTGGATTTAGCAAATTGATTTCTGATATAAGAAATGATCACCAAATAACAATTTGGTTACCTGTGGAGTTCACAACTACCTTCATAGATTACATATTTCATATTCTCTCTATAGTTGATGGGTTTTCCATCCCAATATATATAGTATCAAATATTTTTGATAAGCTAATGCTATTATTAAACATACAAACAGAATGGATAGATACAAATATAGTGGTAAACGAAGAGCCATTTCCACTAAAAAAATACAAGAACCTAATTGTGACAGAGCATATTAATCACAGGTTTAAAAATAGAAATAAAATAATTTTCTGTGATAAGTTTGAAAATATACCTCAGATGTTTTCAAATCAGCAAATTGTGGAATTACTAGATCGGGAGAATCCAGTATTCGACAATAAATACTATTTGGAGACAAATTCTATCAAATTCAAAATAAAAACAGAAAATACAAGATTAGAGATAATGGAAATCTATCGAAAACTCCATGAATGCGAAGATAGAGGTCAGGATAGTCAAACTGCCAAATATAATGAATTCGCTTTGAATGAAAATCAACAGATTGAAACCAAAAGCTACACTACAGAATTCCTAACTTCATCTACAAAAGATATTAGGTATATGATCGACGATTTGTTAAATTTTTACATTCAATCTGAGAATGACTTCTGCAATATATCAATCAATTCTAATTTGAATGTAATAAAAAATAAGCTTTTTTTAACAGGTAGACTCAGTATCACAGATTTCAAATCTAAAAACAGTATAGAAATGAAATTTGTAGAAAAGGAATCCAAGCTAGCTAATTTAATGAAAACTAGTACATGTGCTTTAGTAGATGGATGGATAGTATTTACTGATGAGAGAATCAGATGTAGAATTACAAGTAATGAACAAGTTGAGTATGTCCACTTTTAGAAGGTATTGGAAAGAATTGCTTTTGAACGCTGACTGATTAAAACAAATTTAATGGTTTTGAATAGTTTCCTTAATATTTTATTTATACTCAGAATAATCTTAATAACTCGTCGATGTAGTTCTATAAATTCAAATTCGTTCTGATACGAATCCAAAGCAAAGCTTTTATTTTCTATGCAAATTAAAGCAGATAAATACACTAACCATCCTAGCAATAAGTCAGTTATTATTGTCTTCCTTCTGTTTTGGTATTTATAGATACATGTATATTCGCCAATAAAATAGTAAAACGGCATTTTTATTCTTTTTCAGCTTTCAATTACGATTTTGACAGATAGCAAAAATATCTAATACTAGAAAGTTAAATTTTAATTTTACATAAGGAATTTGTGATTAAGTTGAAGTGGTTTGAACATAGAATGACTTTGGAATTATCATAATTCTGAAACAAAAAGGAATATTTAAATGAAAGTTAAGAATGAAATATTGATAAACTAATATTAAAAGAGAGGTATTCAAACGTCTATTTGGACAAAGCAAACATCCATGCAATATTTTTATTTATATTTTTCCATTTATTACTTTGTAAATATTTTCCATTTCATCATTAATAGTTTTGGTGTTCGATTCGTTAATCTCATTGTAAATTTTTATTAGTTCTGTCAATTTGTTAACTCCAGGAATTTTATCCATAGGGGCTCTATAATAAACATTATTAAAACTAAGTGATAAATAGCTTTTGAGCATTGATAGGCCTTTTATAAGCATGTAATAATCACCTGTGAAGAGATAGCATCGTTTCTATTGATAAATGGTTTATGTGCATATTTTCATTTGACATTCACATGAATTGGCATCGACAGCCAACTTGAGTTTCTTTATTGTATTTTGATTGATTTATTATTATGTTTTTGAATTACATTGAAATATTATCGACTTAAATCAGTTTATAATCAAAATTTTGGTATCTATACTTTTAGAGTTCCCAACTCAATATGTACAGAATTCCTTTTTTTGAATTCCTATACACTTCTGATTAAACTTATCCTATTTCTTTCAATTTGGAAGCTTTATTTACAGGAAAATATTTTTTCTAGAAATTTTTTCAATTTTTTTTCTAGAACTTTTTTTGTATAAATTATTTCATTTTTCTATACCACATGACTGCTGATTGCACCATTCAAGAAAATATAAACAATCATGAAGCTATTAAAGAAAAAGTAAATGAAGAATTTGAGTTTGGCGTAGAAGTTCCTCAGCTGATGAGTATGTTCGTAAACAGTGTTTATTCCTCTAAGGATTTGTTCTTGAGAGAAGCCATTTCCAATGCTTCTGATGCTATTACAAAGATGTACGAATCCAAAGCTTCTTTGGACGCTGATGGATACAAGACTGTTTTTACAAGTGATTTTAAGATTGAAGTTATTCCAGATGTCAAGAATAATTGCCTAATTATTCGAGATAATGGAATTGGAATGACTAAGGAGGATTTGAAAAATTATTTGGGTTCAATTGCTGCGAGTGGAACAGGAAAGTTTAGAGAATTAATGAATTCGACAAATAAACAAAAGATGGAGGATCTTATCGGTCAATTTGGTTTAGGATTTTACTCCCTCTTCTTAGTTGCTGATAGAGTAGATGTCATCACCAAGAATCCGAGAGATAGTTCATATTTGTGGACTTCTGAAGGTAAGTCATCTTATTCCATAAAAGAGTATGAATTTGATGGATTACACGGAACTTCTATAGTATTGCATCTGAAAGAGGGTGAAGGGGAATTTCTTAAGACTGATGTCCTGACTAAATTAATAAAGAAACACTCTATGTATATCAGATACCCAATAGCACTGCACGTGGAAAAGGAGATTGAAGTTGCAGAAGAGGAGGAGAAACCTAAAGTTGATGAGGAGGAAGAAGCCCCCAACAATGACAATCAGCCAGAAGTAACAGAGGTTAAAGAAGATGCAGAAGTTAAAAAAACTAAAAAGAAGATCACCGAAATGCAAATTATTAATTCTGATATCTCAGTCTGGAAGAAAAAGGTTAAGGATGTTGCAGAGGAAGATTTAAAGAAATTTTACAAACAAATTAGTGAGGATTATGATGATTATGCTGCTGTGGAATCTTTCCATTTTGAAGGAATTGTGGATGTAAAAATATTATTATTTTTCCCCAAGAAGGCTAAAATGAGCTTCTTTGAAAAACCTACAGAGAAGGCTACCAACTTTAAGATTTATAACAATAATGTGTTCATTACTGATTCTTTGCCAAGGGATATTGTTCCGGAATGGATGAGTTTCGTAGTAGGAGCTGTCACAAGTAGTGATTTCTCATTGAATATTTCAAGGGAGTTTTTGCAAGGTAAGAGTGCACTTAATATTTTAAAGACTAAACTTCCTAAATGTATTTCTGGAATGATTAAGAATCTCAAGTCTGACGATGCCAAATTTTCTGCATTTTACAAAGAATTTGCCAGAAATATCAAGATTGCAGTGAGGGAAACATCTGATAACATCCAGAAGACCTTTGCACAATTCTTAATGTATCCAACTAATAAAGATAGCAAGTTAACTTCGTTAGATGGGTATTGCAAACAAATTGACGAATCGGACAAACAGATTCTCTATTTAACAGGACTAAATCAGAAAGACGTGGAAAACTCTTTGTATTTGGATGCATTCAAAGATAGAACTGTTCTATTGATGTCAGATGCTAGTGATGAGATTATGTTGCAAGGATTTAAGAATTATAATGGATTGACTTTTCAGAATATCTCGGCTGAAGGTGTTGATATGGTTAGTTCTGATGTTGACACGACATTCGATGAGTTTGGTGAATACTGCCAGAAATTGTTGGAGAATTCGACAGAAAAAGTCATTTTCTCAAAGAGATTCCAAACAGTTCCAGCTTCTATTCTAACAACTAAGCATTCTCATAGTTCTACTATGGAAGCCATCATGAGAAGTCATCCAAACGCAGAAAACGATTTGATGATGCAAATGATGCTTAAATCCAAGAAGATATTTGAGATGAATTCCGGAAATATCTTCGTTAACAATCTTAAGGCACTTTATGATGAGAAGAAATTAAAGAAGGTTGATGAGTATGTTAAATTCCTTTATGATGCTACTGCTGTAGGTTGTGGTTTTAACATCGACAATAAAACTGATTTCATTAGATCTCTATTTGAAATAATTTCAGGAAATCAAGCACAGGTCTCTGTAACCGAAGTTGCTGATGAAGATTTGAAGGGAGAGGCTGAAGTTCAGGAAGTTAAAGATGAATAATTTCCAAAATAAATAAATTCATAATTAAAAGATGGTGGGCACTAAATTATGATTGTAAATTTTATAAGTCTTTCTATTGTTTCATGTTTATCTTACGAACATTTTATTTTGAGATGTATAGTTGATTTGATAAGTTATATTCTTATATTAAGTTAAAGAGAGTTGTTCCGGGTTACTGATTAAGATTTATTTTTTAATTGAGTTTTTAAAATGTATACGTAAAATTATTTATTTATTCATTAATAATAGCAATTTTTGTCCTTTGAATTAAGAAATATATTAAAATCATTTACACAATCCGCATATTGATGATAGTTTTTCGCGTTTGAGGTAATCCATGCTGGTAGCGAATTTAAAACTGACCTATGTTGATATCTAGAATCAAGTAAAAATACTGCACCCCAATCTTCTTTATGACGAACTACTCTTCCAAGAGCCTGATTTACAGCTCTAAATGTTTGTGCTTGGTACCATGCGTGCCCGTTATATCTTCCATTCAAATTATTAAATTCTCTCTTTAATGAAATCTGTGGATCTTTTACGCTGGGATAAGGGATTCCAACAGATATCACAGCTCTTGCAAAGTTATCCTTAAAATCAATTCCTTCTGAGGCTTTTCCGCGATAAACACACAGCATAATAGCACATTGCTTTCCTATTCTGGTCTTGTATTTATTTAAAATCTTTTCAAATTCGACTATCCCACCACATTGTGGTTCCACAAGTGCATCGGATTTCAGTCGAGTAGCAAGTTTGTTTAAAAATGTATAGCTTGGAACAAATACCAAAACACCTCCTGCAATTCCAATAGAATTGCCTATGTCCTTTATAATTCTTGCAATCTGATCCAGATATTCAAATGTTTCAGCAATTGCATAGGTTCCACAAAGTTCTTTGTTCAGATGTCCGGAGTTTATATTCGCTATGAAAACTTGTTCACTTTTCAAAATATGTGGGGCTATGATTTTGTGCTCGAAAGAATGGCCCAATTCACCAATAAAGCTGGCAAAAGGAGTCATCGTTCCTGAAAGTAAACAAATCGACTTCACTTTGGAAGATAGTTGATTAAAAATGACAGCCGGATCGAGCAACCAAAAATTTAAAGAATATTGTACATATTCAGTATTAAATCTTTTGAAGCAATATCCATAAGAATCCGTAGAGCCAAATAGCAGCATATTAAAAATTAGAAGAATTTCTTCTAAAATTTGTCCAGTATTTAGACTGATAAGTGTTTTGGCGTCATCATGCCCCACAATCTTATCTTGAGAATTTCTAAATTGTAAAAATACCTCCTTTGTAATGCCCATAGTCTCTAATTCTACTATAATTGCCTTTCCCGTTTTAATTCTTAGTTGAAATTCAAAATTCTTAGAATCCATTTCAATCTTCTCAGAGTATTCTCTGAATTTTCTAAAAAACTCCAAAAGCACGATAAATTCATTCTTTATTTCGCCTAAAAGTGCTGATTTCTTAACAGCTCCAATTACTTCGTTTGAAATAATATCAATGAGCTTGCTAGTCAATTCCAAACTACCAGCTGACCTACATGAGTCTTCAATATTATGGGCCTCATCAATAATTACAATAGCATTGGAGAGTTCTAAATTCATTGTATTTCGGATTTTAGGATCAATTAGATAGTTGTATGGTGCAAAAATAATCTCTGCCTCTTCACATAGCTCACGTGCAGTAAAATATGGACAGCCTACACACTTCTTACCTGTCGATCTCAATTCTTCAATGTCAAATAGTTTGTCCCCAATTTTCTTAATCAATCTATCCTTTCCAGAATGATAGATACACTGATTTGTTTTAATGAGATCCATACAGGCTGTATTTTTATCTAAAACATCTCTCAATTTAGGATTGATACAGTAATGATTCTTAGAACCCAAAATAGTTATTCTGGGCTTATACGATGTTTTTCTGAGTTGACCAACCAACTGATCTAGCTGTTTATGGGTCCTACTACAAATGTATATTTTGAGACTATTCGAATCTTCAGACTGTATAATATCTTTGTTTGTTGTTAAATTTACAATATCATTCTTAATATGCTGGGTATCATTCTTGGTGATGTCTCTTTTAATGAATTGTAAATATCCCAAAGCAGCACAGATTATGGATAAGCTCTTTCCAGTTCCAGTTGGAGATTCTATCAATGCACATCCATTGCTTTGAAATGCACCAATCATTTTGGACATTGTCACTAATTGTGCTGGATATGGTGGATATGGGAGATCCATGGGAATTCCAGAAATTTTGACTTTAACCATTTAGGCTAAAAAAATATAAATTTTAGAATGAGAAATATCAAAAGATGAAAAGAGAGAATATACACTAAAGTTTTTGATCAAAACATTTGTAGAATTTTAAAACAAACTAAGACTTATAGATATATAGCAACAACCAATAAATAATAGAATCAAAAATTTTTCTAATGTGGAAAACTACTTTATTCATTTCATATTCTTGCTGGAATGTTTCTGTGTCCTCTGCTCTTACAACTTCCACAGCTGCCATTTTTGGATAAAAAGTATCCAATACCACATGTTGAACAATTTGACCTTACCGTTTTTACTAATCCGTCCTGTGCAACCACAAAGCAATTCAAATAATCAACTTTTGTCTTATTACGTGGAATCCTTACTTTCTTTGGAGTTAAGAAATCGTTCTTCTTCTTCTTCTTACCTCCACGTAATCTCAAAACTAAATGCAACGTGGATTCTTTCTGAATGTTATAATCACTCAATAATCGACCATCTTCCAACTGTTTTCCAGCAAATATAAGTCTCTGCTGATCTGGTGGAATTCCCTCTTTATCTTGAATTTTTGCTTTTACATCTGAAATGTTGTCAGATGGGTCAACCTCTAGAGTAATTGTCTTACCAGTGAGCGTCTTGACAAATATCTGCATAAAGGGTAAAATTTTAAAAAAAATAAAAGTAGTGACAAATAAATAAACAGTTTAAAACAAACAACAAATTTATATAACTGAACTATGTATGCATAAATAAATAAAGTAAACAAGTTAATACTCAGTAAGAAATCTCTTAAGTATGAAAAATTTATAATAATTAAAATGAAGATAAAGAAACTATCTTAAAAAAGATTGTTGCATCAATGATTAATTCATTAAAAATTAATCATAAGGTCATAAAATTTCAAATGATATCAATACTTTTAGGTATACGTATGATTTATCACCAAATTTTTGGAATTGGTTTTAAGCCCCTTTATGGATAGAATTAATAAATTTTTACAGAATAGACAAGTTAAGAATAAAAGAGTTCTTTTGTATAAGAATAAACGGATTGAAATTACAAAGGATGATTTGAAAAGAATACGAGCTTATAGAAAAGGGGTTAATTTGGGTGGCCCACTTTCAGATGGAAAAATGAATTCAGAAAAGAAAGAGTCTGATAGACTAGAACTAGAAAGAATAGTTAATATCAATATAACTACAGACAATGAAGTTGATAGTTTCAGAAAATTTTTAGATGATGAAAGAATTAGAAAGCGCTTCTTAAAAAAGAATCCAATATCCAATAAGCAAAAGAAGATTAAAGTGAGTAAGAATATCGTTTATGACATCTATGAGGATGAGACGATCGAAACTCTGAAATCTTATGATCAAGAGTGGATTTATTCTATAAAGTCTCAATATTTGGGAAGTGTAGATAATCTATGCACAGATAATGCTTATGAATTGAGAAGAATTTATGAAAGACAGTTTACACCTAGAGAAAAGACAATATCTACTAAATCAATTATTGAGAAAAAATGTTTAAATTATGACTTTGCTATATCTAAAGAATTTGACATAACAGCTGATGAGATCTGGCAGAATATTTGTAGATCAAAATTCAAAGACAATAGTAGTAAGTCTGGAAGCATGATTAAATCTCACTATTTAGATGGCACTTTGAATCACAATATCACTTCTACTCCATATACTTACTTCGATTTTGATTATGCGTTCTTATCTAATTCTATTAATAATATATACAATCCATTATTGTTTTTTTCATCAGAGAATATTCTCTATTACAAAAACAATCCATTAATTGTATCTACTGTGCCAATTAAACACTTTTACATTACAGAACATCTTATTGGTTTACTTTTTAGAAACAAAGTAGAAATATACGAAGTGAATGAAATTTCTAACGAAATTAATAAAATTGGCTATGATACTGAAATGGTCACAATATTAGATGAACAGAAAAATATCAACACACTTTCCACGAATTTACTAAGTACTTATAAGGTAAAGACAGATATCCTGACCAAATTATTCCTATATGAAAATGTAGATGCGAATGCTGCAAAGTTGGATCATGAGGCAATACAGTCTTCACACTCTTTCACCGTATCCACTTCAAATGGGATTACTAAGGTTGTTGATGGAAAAACAGTAGCCATTAAATCACTGAATTACATTATTGATTTCGTGTGCTTAGATGGCTTTATATTTGCAGTCAATAATTTGAATAGAATTTTTGTGACTGGCGATAAAACTTATGAAATCATGCATAATGAAATAGGTAAAAAAATTGTGGTCTTTAGAGTTGGAAAACCTCAATTCACCCCCTTTGTAGAGTATTTAATTGCGGTGCTTTTCTCCAATGAGGTTGTGATTTATAGCTTCAAGACTGAATTGAACAAATCGACTGATAATTCAGAATTAGATAAGAAATCGAACCGTGATTTTATAGTTCAGGGGTCCAATCAGATTATTCCATGCTTCTCAACACCCGGCAGATATAAAACAATCTCTTGGGACGAAACTATGCCATATTTGTATGTTGGTGACAAAAGCAAAGTATACATGTACTCGTAAAATAAATTATTTAAAAGTCGTCAAAACGGAACTATCCATGTAACAAACAACAGCCATGCATTAGCTAATTTATATAATATTTTTAACCTTGTAGATATAAACTTCAAATAACAAAATTCTGATTTTAGAATAATTTATATAAACGATTTATTAGTGTTTATTTTTTGTCAGTTCTATTAATGCGCTGACAACATCATTTCCAGAATTTTTCAGAGCTTCTATGGCTTCAGATTCAGTACAGTGTGATTGCTCCATAATCAACTTTATTTCCCCCGAATTATCTATCGTATTTGCTGCTTCACCATCAATAGTAGGGATTTCTTCAATGGCCGCAGTTTCCATAGAACTGTCAACAGTCTCTGGCATGGTTTCTCCATCTTTATTATCCTTCATATGCTTTTCTAAAATTTCTTTGATTTGTTCAAATGTAAAACTTTTCTGGATTTCTCCAAATATTAGCCAAGTATTCTTTTTTGGCAGTTTGTAAACATGACAATTCTTTATATCAAAAATTTCAGACGAATGCCCAACAGATACTTGCTCAACTAGTAGCTTCTCTGGGTTCAAAGGAGCAAATTTATCGAGAATTTGTAACTGTTTTGAATCTAACATGAAATTAGAGGGTGGAAAAAAGAAAATGTTGAAAGAAGTGATTAAATCATGAAGTTGATGAATGATATCTATTCTATTAATAGAGAAAAGAAGGATTGTAAAAATAAAATATAAATTTAGAATAGTTACAAACCTCATAAAGAATAGTAGGAAATTGGATCCAATGTGTTTCCAGAAAAATTCTGGTAAGTCTCTATTCAATTCTATCAAAATCTTAATTAATCATATTTTTGTGTTGTAATTATGCCTTCATTGTATAATGGTTAGTACGGCAGTCTCATAATCTGCAGATTCGGGTTCGATTCCCGGTGAAGGCATTTTCTTATTCGTTTTATTTTAAATTCTTTAGTTAAACAAGAACTTTTCTCCATTATAGATATTAATTTACAACAAAGTTAGAAAATGATAGATAGAGTTCTTAAATTGGAATATGTACATGCCTATCAATTAAAAAATCAAGAAGACACCCAAAGCTACATATTGTAAAATGAATCATCTATTTATTTTGCTCTTCTTTTTGTAAATTTGCATACTTCGATGCTTCTCGATCGCTTTGATAAAATATTCCTTTGCTATAATTACTGTATCATTACTGAAATTATCTCTCAAGCATAATATGGCAGATTCTTTTACTATCCCAGAAATATCAGCTGATGAAAACCCATCTAAATTGAGCAAGCTGAAATCAAACTGCTCGGCTGGCAAGTTCCTGATACATTTGGAAAAAATCTCGAGCCTTTCATTTTCCTTAGGAAGTGGAACTTCAATAATCTTATCAAATCTCCCAGGTCGCATTAGAGCCCTATCAATAGATTTTATTCTATTCGTGGCACCAATTAGATAGACTTCTCCCCTATCTTCCATTCCATCAAGAAGTGTAAGTATCTGATTCACAATTCTATTGCCAAATTCATTCTTTCCCCTTTTACCGCAAAGACTATCTATTTCATCAAAGAATAATACACATGGGGATAGATTTTTAGCACGTTCAAATAGCTGTCTCAGATGTTTTTCAGAATCCCCTACATACTTTGTAATCAATTCTGGCCCTTTAATGGACAAAAAATTACAATGAGACATATTAGCCACTGCCTTTGCAATCAAAGTCTTTCCACAACCTGGTGGTCCATGTAATAAAATACCACTTGGACGAACAATTCCAAAACGTCGAAATTTTTCAGGGAATTGGGATGGTAAGAATATACTATTTCTTAATTCCTCTTTAACTTCATGCATTGCACCAATGTCATCGAATGTAATTAGTTGTTCTATATTTTTCCATTCTTTAATCGAATCCATAAAGTCTTTCATAGTTACAAATTCACATGAACTATTTGAATAGCCTGGACTACTTGAAGAGGTAATTCGAATAATGGCTCTACTTGTGGCCATCCCAATTAATTTAATCAGGTCTGCAGGAACAAATCCTGGTGTGTAGTAGGCTAATTCACCAGAATCTACATCCTCGCATTTCATTTTTGAAAGAAGAGATTCAATAATTTCTCGTCTGCGCTCTAAATTAGGAATTTTTACAAAAATATGAGTATCAAATTTAAACGTATGAATCCTCTCTTTATGAATGAAGATGACTAATGCATTCCAAGTTAATTTTTTAATAGATTCCTCAATCTGATGAGTCATGGCCTTATCGTCCAATATTGAGTCCAAATTTGTAATTAAAATTATTGACATATCAGTTGTTTTACTCTGGCGAAATAGTTCACGAATATCTGAGGAATTCTCCACGAATTTGGTAATAATAGGAATATTATACTGTTTAGAAAAACATGAAACTAAAAATGTTCTGCCAACGCCTTCAATCCCATAAATTAATAGTGATTTATGGGATTGATGTCCTAATTTGGAATATGTTGGCTGGTGAAAGAGTGGATTGTACATTTTCCTTCTAATGTCATCTTCCAAATACTTAATTCCAGCAATTTCATCAAGTTTTGGATGTATCTTCTCAGCTACTTTGTTAGATAAGTGAGTACTAGTTAATCTATCACGTAGAATATCAGCAGCGGTCTTTTTCATCATTACAATGGGTGTCTAAAAAATTGTAATAAAAAGATTATACATTTTGATGTACTATAGCAATAAAAGAATGATATGAAATATAGTTTGTAAAACAAATTTGTTTGATGCTTTTGCTTTCTCTCTATCCATTACCTATTCTATTGAATTACTCCGTCTTATTTCTATATAGCTATCAAAGAAAATCGATGAATTAATCAGATACAGGGACAGTATAACATACAACTATCTAAGTATAGTTTATTAGTTTAGAAGGATTTATTCTTTTATAAAATAATTTCTATCCGCTTGTAATTCTATTCAATTAATAGCCTAATTTTTCCAAGATAACTAAAGATTTCTAATGATTCCAATCAAAGCTCTAGCCTAATATTTTTTTCCTCTAGATATTGTTTGAGGCATGAATATGTGGAGAAATCGAAGCTTTTTGAAATATTACAATCACAGTTATTGCCTTTTTTGGGGCAGTGTGTAAAAAAATCATGTGTATATCCAATTTCCTCAAAGAAATGTATTTCTGATTTTTCTAAAAATAGTGAAGCTGCAATAGAATGAATCGGAGCGTCACCCCACCTTTCATAATAGAATCCACCAGAATTTTCCAAATAATCAACATAATCATTATAAATCTTTGATCTAAAAAATTCGAACGATGCAATTTCGAAATTTGACCAAAAATGACAACCATTGTATTTACCATTGTCAAACATAAAGTTTAGTGTATTTACATTCTTCAATCTATTTCTATTCTCGATCAAAAATCTGGCTGTCGTTGGTAGTAGTGAGGTAATTGAATTCATAAATTCATGCATGATTATAACAAATCCGTATTTTTTCTTGTTCTCTTCCATATAGTCGAAAGGATCTTTTGATATATCACAATGAAACCTTACATTTGGTTCAATTCGCCAAAAGTATTTGAAATCAGCTAAAAGTGGATGCTTATAAAATGCTCTTGAGTAGAATCTGCACATATTGTGATAGCTCTCCTTTTCAACATATGGAACTCCAGTTTGAGCCATATTATGCCATGCCTGTAATGCTTTTTCTCTATTGATGGCTGGAGGCATATTCCAGTGACTAGAATCAATCAACCCAAATTTAGAATTATTATTTGTTACTTTATTAATGTTATCCTGGAATTCCTTGGTAAACTCCTTATCATTTAGAAACACATACGGATATTTGAAAACTTTATTGATTCTGAATTCAAAATTTAAGATCGTTTCCCGAATGCCATTAAGGTCTTCATTTCTGCATAAAATTAAAATAACGGCATTTTGCTTAGAGAAGATCACTTCTAAAATTAAAAGCAGATACATAGTTTATTAAAATCACAAATATTTAACCATTAAACTGAAACAAAATATTTATTTTCACACATTGGATCAAATTTTAAAGAATAATTTAACAAATCTCTTATTAGATGAAGCTTTGATTTGTTCATTTTTATCCTTGTTTAGAGTGAAACTGAAACATTCGGTAAATAACTTGATTTTGAAAAACTAAAGTTAGTTGTTACATTAAATGAGTGTCAATTTTTAGAACAATACATGTAACAGAACTATGTATTATAGATTCCATTTTTATTTCTATCCTAAGCGGTTATAAGTATTCAACATATGCATTAGAACTCTTATTTTAAAATATCACATTTATTTCAGATAGTTCTAGGCCGGAATTTAGTAGAAGAAATTTTATTGCAGAACAGATAGTACTTTTTAAAACCATATTGGTAGGTATTTACTCGTATTTGTGGAAAAGCATCTATCAAAAATAATTTTTCAAGAACAAATTTATTCTGAAGTGTAAAAGCACTATCTTAATAAAACTCTCAATCTGCTTAAACAACTTCTTGCCTAATCCAATAGAAAATACTACCCACATTTTTCCTTAATAGTAGAAACGATGCATTTACATGAAAAATAATCAATTTTCCATTTCGATGGTCTCTTGATTTTGTTTGTTTTTGTAAAAATTTTATGAATTTTTTCTAGAATTTTTTTCCTATAAAATTTTTTCTTTTTTTAAGCCCCATGTCAACTCAAAAGCCTTTGATTGCAATTTCTGTTATTGGTCACGTAGATTCTGGTAAGTCAACACTCACTGGTCAGATGGCCACAAGATTTGGACAGCTCGACTCCAGGGCATTGTCTAAGCTAGAAAAGGATGCTATGGAAAACAACAAGTCCTCCTTTGCACTTGCTTATTTCACTGATAAAACTGAACAAGAAAGAAAAAGAGGTGTAACTATTCAAACTACATTAGTTAAGATGGAAACGAAGAAATTTGCTATCAACTTCTTAGATTGCCCCGGCCACGCAGATTATATTAAGAATGCAACAAATGGTTGTAAACAGTCTGATTTGTCAATTGTGGTGGTTCCAGCTAGGTTTGAAGCATCTTGTTCTACCGAAGGAACTCTTAAGACGCATCTGACACTTGCTGGAATTCTCGGATCCAAAAACTTTATTGTTTGTATTAACAAATTGGATGAAGTTGAGATTAAAAATGAGAATTCATTAGAGACCGCTTTTGAGGCTGCTTGTGAAGCCGTTTACAAGTTCTTGAAGAGACTTGGTGTTAAGAGAGAGGCAGTGATTTTCTTGCCAATTTCAGCTCTTAAGGGTATTGGAGTGTTTACAGATTCAGAAAAAAAGAATTACTATTCTTTCTTCAAGGGCTATAAAGTACCTAAGGTCAAAATCGATGGGCAAACTCATTTATTTACTCTAGAAGATGCTATTGATTATCAAGATGCTCCACCAAGAGCTCTCGAAAAGCCATTGAGAATGCCAATTTCATCCATTGCTCACGTTCCAGGACATGGAGCAGTTCTTTGTGGAAGAGTCGATTATGGAATTATTAAGAAAGGTGATGTGGTGAAGATTCTTCCAGTTGGAATCACTTCTGATGTTAAGTCCATTGAAGCTCATAAACAATCGATTCCCGAAGCTCCAGCAGGTACTAACATTGGTTTCGTTCTTAACTTGAAGGGTGATAAGACAGTTATGGACAAAATCAAGACTGGCTCTCTTGTTGGGCCATCCAATGACACCAACTTCAATCTACAACCTTTTTACATTGCTTCTTGTATGAGTTTGAAAAAATCAAAAGGATCAGATGATTCTAACGGTATTAAGGCAGGATACACACCTGTTATTTCCTGTGGTACTTCTAATGTTGCATGTAAGTTTGCAAAGTTGCTTTCCTGCACAACTGGATCTTCTGGTACTATTGAAAATCCAAACTCAATCCCTGCAAACTCAAAGTTTTCAGCTATTATTTATCCAACAAAACCATCGTTGTTTGAAAAATTTACTGAGTTCCCTGGTCTAGGTAAGTTTGTTTGCAGAGATTCCGGTATTCTTGTAGTGTGTGGAAATATTACTGATAAGATTACAGCAACTGAGGCTAAGGAGAAATATGATCTTGATGTTGCTGTTGTTTCTGGTGATAAAGAAGCAATCAAGAAGTCTAAGGCTAAGAAATAAATAAAATTTTATTTCTAAAAAACTTCCCCTGTTTTTATGTCTGAAATTATTCAATCCTCTGTTAATATTTTAGTCATCTCATTGACTGGTTTAATTTTAAAAGTTGGTTATGTTGGTGATTTTGCTTATTCAGAATTTATAGATTTGAAATTGGCACATGACACATCATTGAATAAAAACACTTTTGAAGAAATTACAGTTATAGAAATAGAAAGAATCATTTCAAAGCACGAAGTAGAAGCTGCAATTATCATTTTGCATCCTCAAAATTCCATATGCTTAAAAAAGCAAATTCTGGAAAATAGAAAATGTGGAAATATCTTATTTATGGACAGTTGCGTTTGTGAAATTTTAGGATCAGGAAAGACTTCAGGCACTATTTTTAATTTTGATACTTTAACAATTGCACAGGTAGTTAATATGAAATTGGTTGAATATAAAATATTTGATACTAATATACATAAAAATAATGGGTTTCAAGTAATCAATAAGGAGGAAACTTCATTACTTAACAACCCTGGTGTTGCTTCAGATGAAGAATTTGCTTTGAAACTACAAGAAATTACTGTAAGATTAAGGATTGACTTAGAATTTTTTTCTGATTGGAAAATTTACGAATTCTTAAAATTAGAAAAGGAAAATATTATCAAGAATATATCAACTGGGTTATTGACATCAATATTTTCAAATCTTTCTACTATTGAGAATGATAAATTAAATAATATACTGAAGAACAGTTTTAAACTGATTGATGAGGTCATTAGGTTCAGGAAATGTTGCACTGGTAAAAAACTTGGTATTATTGTTCTATGTGGTGGATTATTTAGGAATAGAAGCTTTCAAGACATTACAAAAGAATATATCTTGAAGGAATATAAAGAGTTCTCGAATGATGCAATTGGTTTTGAAACCAATTTAGAGCTTGATTTTACGGGGGCATCTATATTTGGTAGCAATTTATTATCCTTACACTTGTTTATAACTCCAGATGATTACAAAAAATATTCCGATGAAATATTTAAAATAAAATCAATAAACTGATACTTCTCAAGAATTATATTTGTAAATTAACTTATGGACTTAAAAATATTTTTATCTAGTGGCATATATTACTAAGTGTGAAATCAGAATGAAAATTTCAATACTTTTATAAGCTAATTAGCAAAAAATTTGTTTAATAATCACCTCTGTAAATGACTATTTTTTATCATTAAACACATAATAATACCATAGATGCACGAGCAACTATTTCAATGGTTGTGAAATATATACTTTTTAATTTTATAAAATCTAATTTCTAGGTAAAATTACTTCTTTAATTTTTAATTTATTTAAGATTTATTCTTTTAACCCCATGAAAAATGCCAAAATAAAATCAAGTCAAGATACCATCGTTAGTAAATCTGATATTAACACTACTAAAAATAATAAAATATTAGAGTTAAGCCTCTCATCAGATTCAATCACTCACCAAAATGAATCTAATACTTCCAGCAATATTTCTGAACCTAAGACCATCAAGCCATATTTGCGTGGTAAAATCCATGCTTTTGCTTTTCTCTTCTGTCTTATATTGACTACTCTATTCTGTTTCACTTCTATTTTTAAGAGGTTTGATAAGGCTGTTTTTATCTATTTAATAGTACAGCTTATGCAATTTGGAATAAGTGCATCTTATCATATTATCGACTTTAGCCGTAAAAACAAAGCTATTATGAGGGCTTTAGATCATATTGCAATATTCTTTCTAATAAGTGGCACCCAGACAAGTGTGCTGATAAATAGTACTAAAAAGATTCCTGTATCCATTGATACAGTAATAAAATGGTCATGGACATTATCCATATTGGGAATATCAAAAATAATTATTTTAAGTAATTTAAATGGTCATACCCTTGGAAATCTTAAACGTAAAATGGTAAAAGCTATTCGTCGTGCCAATAATAAGGACCACATTAATAGCAATGATATTTCTAAAAATGGAAATTGTTTGAATGATAATATTGATAAAACCTTTGAATATATCCACAATTACCTAGACTCACACAACTATTTCGACTTAATATGTTATATGGCGCATGGTCTGTTGGTTCTACCGTTTTATAGTGTAATCTCACAACTAGTTACATTTGATTTTATTTTATGTGTTTCAGGTGGCTTATTTTATCTAATAGGAGGTGTTATATTCGGGCTGGAGGCTCCAAATCCAAATCCAAAAATTCTAGGATTTCATGAAATATTTCATATTTGTACCATAGTAGCGAATGGATGCTTTGGAATAATTATTTTGAAACCCTACCTGAGTTCCTTACTATACAAGTAATAAAGTTGAATTCCCTTAGTTTTAAGGAATATCTTACAAGTTTCAAATTATTGGACTGGTATTGTAAGAATTGTAGTTGTTGTATTCATATATTTCTCTTTTATTTTTCATGCACTATACATAATCATTAATAGTATACAAACTGTATGCTTATTTGATGTTAGCTTTTAAGATTATTGAATTATTTAACTTAAAGAAAATTTTTAATTTTTAAATAGATTAATTTACTGATTAATCTCAAAGTATTGATCCTCGTCCAATTCAGCTATCTTTAACCCAACCTCACAACTTTCTCTTATTATTTTAATATCACAACATAAATACTTCTTCAAAATGTTTACACATTCGTCATTTCCTATATTTCCTAATGCTTCAGCTGCCTCATGTCTAACAACATCTGCCTCTGAATCATCTTCCAGCACAGCTTTTAAATATTTCACTGAATGCTCATTCTCCATTTGGCCAAATACATAGGCTATTTCATGTCGAAGTAATTCACCGATGGAATTATCTCTGATGATGAAGTTGGCATTATGCCCATCAACCTTTTGTGATGTTCCCACAACCTTTTTGATCAACTCACCCCCTAAAATATCTACCGATTCCTTGCTATTCAAGTCTCTCAGGTAGAACATCGCCTTGTATTTTTCGCAGATATTCCCATTAACAAATTTATCCCTAGTTTGTTCAATAGTTCCTTTCATTGGATAAGCTGGATCTCTGCTACCAAATTTACTGAATGGGATATTTTCGGAACTATTCTGTTTAGTTTCAAAACCATTTAGATCGTTGAGTTGACAGGTTTCCTTTATCTTATCAATAGCCAGTATCACAGAATCTCGAATTATTGGAATTGGGCTATCAGCATACCCTTGTAGGATTGGAATAATATCTTTTCTTTCAAAATTTCCTAAAGCTTCTATTGCTTCATGTCTAACTATAGGATCAACAGATTCATCCTTAAATAAATGTATCAAAAAATTCAAAGAATTTAACTGTTTCATCTGGCCGAGTACATAGGCTATTTCGTGATCTAATAACACTGACTCCCCTCTTATACATTTTTGTAAAGCCAAACTACTTTCTGGGGAGTCTAAACTTCTCAAATAAAAAATACATCTGTTTTTTATGGAAATTGGAACATTTGGATCAGAAATTTTGGAAACTGCCAAGTTGATCATAAAATGGAGGGGGTAAAAAGATAATAATTGTTGAAGAGATTGAATGATAAAATTAAAAACAATAATAATAGAAAATTTTAATATTCTTATTTCCATTTCTTGAAATTTTCAAATATACCAATTGAAAATAAAATAGTGTTTTAGTAAAAAATCATTAAATGAAGGTAACCTCAAATAATCAGAAAACACAAATTTTAAATCCTGTAGAGATAATTATCAAGTTTTGCTTATAGAATATACTCAATTAATAATTAGTAAACTTCAGTACAAGTACAGGTTTTTGGTTATTATCAAAAATATTACATATGTTTATTGACTCATTACATATTCCTCATTATTTATATTCTTTATACAATATTTTTGTTCAGAATCTTGAATGATTTGTTCTATCCTCTTTTTACAGTTAAGTCCTCCAATTCTAAACACCAATTCATCCATCCGAATAGCCTTTTTATTGGAAATTTCAAAAATATTTTGAATTTTATTTTTCAAATCAATTTGATCATTCTTTTCAACAACAAAAGCAGCTCTCCTTTGCCGTTCCTTTTCTCTAACTCTTTCAAAAACATCACACGCCCTTGATTCAACACAATAATCTGTTTTGATCCCAAAATTACTTTTTTTATTTGGCTGAACTATAAGTTCTTTAATTTCAATAAATTTTTCCGATGGTATAACAATATCATCCATTTTAAAACCAGGATGAAATCTATCTCCATAATCAACTATGCCAAACTGGATAGTCCACTTATTATATGAACTGATCAAAAATTCATACAGTATTCTATCGATATTGATCTTTTTAGAAATGGAAATTGTAAATGTTTCAACTGTTTTGCCCTCATCAACAATATGAACTAGTTTAAACTCAATATTTTCTTGAACCAGATATTTCAGTCTTTCTAAATCTTTCAATTGTACACTTCTTTTAAACATCCTTTCAATACTCTTCTTATACTTACAAAACACCAAATTCAGTCCCCTTTTCTGATTAAATTCATAAATTATAGAAATTGCTTTATAAAGTTCTGAAATTCTCTTGAAATGACTTGGTAAATACAGGGTAGAGTTCACCAAATTATATGGAATGTTAATACTCTTAGTAGAATGATTAATAATTGCCATTTTTCTACATGATATATCACATTCTAGACTATATTTCCTTATATCAGATTCATAGTGAAAAATAGAATTGGTTAGTTTAACATCATCCACTATATCTCTGTCCAGATTGTTAAACCTAGTATCAAATGTCTCAGTCGTTTTGATATTATTAATCACCGGGTATTTGGTAGTTTGTTGACTAATTTCATTACATTCTCCCACAAATATCTTATCAAAATCAATACCTTTATTCACATCCTCTAAGCTGGAATTCATAGAACCGATTTCCTGTTCCTTTGCAAACAAGTTTGAATCATCAGGTAATTTCTTCTTATGAATTCTTTTAAAATTGAAATCTTCCAATAAGCTACTATTTCCCACTGAAGATGTTAGTTTTTTGGATTTTGTACCTTTAATTTTTTTTGGACGATCCTTGGGTGTAGGAAAATCCAGTATGATCTCTTCCAATTGATTTACGGTTTTGGAATTGGCTATTTTATTCACCGCATTAGCTATATCAATAGCATTATTGGCTCCATTTTTACAAACTTTACTGTTCATTCCATTTTCTTTAACCTCATCACAGCTGGTCTCTTTAGATGTGATTCTATTGGTGTCTGCTTTTGTGCTTTTAGATGATTTTGCTTTGGATTTCTTAACAAAATTCATGAACATTGACAGGATTAAAAAAATTTAAAAAAAATCAAAATGCACTAAAATTCAACATAATATTACTCAATCCATATAAGAGGAAATAATGAGGAAATCAAAACCTGAAAATAACAAAATTTAACTTAATATGTTTCAGCCATTATTTTTTTATAATAATTGTTGGTGATTCATTATTTAGCAGCAATATATATAGCATATTTTCCATTCAGTATGAGTAAGAATAAAGTTGTATTATACTATTATGATTATTTCTTAATATTAGCCTATTTATAAAGTTTTCCACTCTCTTACTTCCATTTTGGTATTCGTATGTCTCATAAAAACGATTCATAATGGTACTTCAATCCAGCATATGCTTACCCGTTCTAATTTTTAATCTCACTAGCCCATATTTATGATAAACCCTTCAACTGTATACTATATGCGCATTATTTTGAACGAATTATCTTCAGATAATTTTCAAGAGAATCTTCGTAGAATCCATCTTTCTACAACATTGCTACACTTGGAATTTGATGATATTTTCTTGATTTTTATGGCAACACTAAACATACATAATAAAATTCAAATGACTAAAAATTATAAAAAAATATTGAAAATAAACGACAAGCAGATAGTCATCGATGAAGAATATCCTGATTTTGAAACTACTCTTAACCATTTGGAGAAAGTGTTGTTGAACAGCTCCACAGACCAAAATAGCCATCAGGAATTAGTGCATGAGGAGCATACATCCATAAATAAGGAAGCCTTTACTGTTTTACAATTTATAAGCAGTATTCTATTTGATACTTTTATGGTTAAAAATCGTGTATCTTCTAATGTAACTTTTACTTCAAATGAAGAACATAGTATTGTGAACACATCTGTTGAGGCTAGTCCAACACTAAACAGCAATTCTCCAGGATACTGTGCAAGTTTACTCTCTTCTCCTACGAATGAGGAATTTAGGAGGAAGAGAGGGAGGGGTAAGGTAGTGCCTAGCCTCAATAACTCTCCAATTCCAGCCGAGTTATTAGAAAAAATTGTAAAGAAGAAAAAATCTAAAAGATATTATAAAGATATGGACCAAAAACAGAAAGATATCGATAACCAATTTGACTATTGTCTCCAGAGTTCATATTATGATCATGAAAGGAAACCTTATGAAAATGGACTTAACGGAAATATTAAAAATGTTGGATATATAATTGATTATTATTCCGATATTGATATCGAATTCAGGCGTATTATGCTAAAAATAGTTAACTTCAATAAGCAGCATGCTAAAGATAAAGATTATGCTTCAGAATTGCAATTTTTGGAAGAGTATTTTGAAAAAACACTAGGATTGAAAAGAGTTGAATTGGCTAGCCGAGGAAGATTGAATAACTCTATTGCAAACTTGATGAAGCAAATTCAAAAGAGAATGTTTGCTGTAAATTACAGTTATATAAAAGACGGCCATAATATGAATATTAAATCTGAAGATGAAGAGTTCAATATTCTACACTTTATAAAAAATAGATTGTACATCTTTTACAATCATTATCGAAAATAAAAGAAAGTAGACTAATTTATATATACCTTAATCTTTAGCAACTGTATTATTGCTGCTACCATATGTGGATGATATATTTCTCCACAATTCTCCAGCAAAAAGATATACTTTTTATAGAGATTACAATCTAATATGGAGAAATATATTGATTCCTATATTTTTAGATCATTATCAATTGACATATTATTAAGAAACAATAAATAGTTGTATATGTTCAATTTGTAATTTGTTGGTATAAATTGATTACAATGATTTCATTTAAAATAGTATTAGATCAACAGATATGTATAACATTGTTATGTACTAATCTTTAATTGTGGAATAGCATATGAGTGTAGCAAGTGATATGGCAATTAGTAAAAAAGATAATTTCTTGATCTATGGACTTTCATTTGTTGCCTTGCAATAATAAAGATTTTACTTCTAAGCGACTTCGTTTCCATATTAATAAACCTTATAAAACTAAAAACGAATATTCATCGATAAATTCTACATAAATATTACTTCATTTAAATAATTCATAAATATTGGCTATAAAAGTATTTACCCCTTATTTATGACAAGTAATAACAAAGAGATCGACTCTGCAGAGTTATGGAAAAAGGTGTCTCAACAGCTATCATCAAAAAAATATGAGGAAGTAGCTAAAGCTGCGTATAAGAGTATCGACTTGAGCAATATTAAGAAAGAAATAGAAATGATTTCTAAGGAAAGAATAAACTCTCAGCACAAGTCAATTGACCACAGTATAGCATTTGGTAGTAAAAGCAAAGTAGATTCTGGATATTCCATGCATCCTAGTCCAAAGGATAGTTTTGTAGAGCTGTATTCTGGAAAATATCTTAAAACTCCAGCAGAAAAATTTTATTATAATGAACTACAAAATAGTATTGCATGTCAACCAACATTCGAT